GACATTTTCCAACATTAAAAATAGAAAAAAGGGATTTATTGCAGAGAGTTTTGGAAAATACTGTACTGCATATGAGTATACGTAACCACAGATACACACATTTTTTTGTTATTTTATCTGAACATTTATGCTGTTTTTTTAAAATACAATATTGAACATTTATTTTATTTGTAATTTTAATGATTCGTTTAGTTTTTAATAGCTTTTTAAATTGTTTAATATAAAATCTTAACAATGCAGATAAAGAAAAAAAATTATTAACAAACAAAATGTAGAAATATTGTAGAGATATATATGACATTTATATCACATATACCCATCTCGGTGCATAGAATTATTCATAAGAAATAATGATAAATGAAATATTTAACGACAAAACTGAATGGGTGAGGTTACCATTTCTGTAACAACTACAATTTACTTAGCTGGGGATGTCTTTAATATTTAAAAGCTCCTTTTTTCATGTTTAACTACCTGACAAAAGTCTTGTTGCTTATCCGAGTTAAGAAGAAGAAATAATAACTTGACTTCTAGTTCATCATTTGGTATCAGAAGGGGCTTATTTGAAAGCGAAAGGCCTTCAGATTATGCTTGTTTTACCAAAATAACTTTGATTTTTAATTATTTAATTAGGACAGTTAGGTTTGACTTTGCACACACAAAAGTCTTGTCACTTAACAGAAATAATGTAAAGTATAGAATATAAAGTCATGATGCAGTGGAAAAGAATGAATATTGCGGATGACTCCCATGAGCTTGGACGACTGCATCCATACATCTCTGCAATGACTCAAATAACTTATTAATAAAGTCATCTGGAATGGCAAAGAAAGTGTTCTTGCAGGACTCCCAGAGTTCATCAAGATTCTTTGGATTCATCTTCAACAGCTCCTTTTTCATCTTGCCCCAGAAATACTCAGTAATGTCTGGTGAATGGACTGGCCAATCCTGGAGCACCCTGACCTTCTTTGCTTTCAGGAACTTTGATGTGATGCTGAAGTATGAGAAGGAGCTCGATCCTGTTGAAGAATTTGCCCTCTACAGTCATTTGTAATTGATGGACAACACAAATGTCCTGATACCTTAGGCTGTTTATGTTGCCATCCACTCTGCAGATCTCTCACATGCCCAGATACTTAATGTAGCCTCAAACCATGATTTTTCCATCACCATAGTTGGCTGATTTCTGTGAGAATCTTGGGTCCATGCGGGTTCCAATAGGTTCTGTAGTATTTGGGATGCAGTTCAACAGATGATTCATTAGAAAAAGCTACCTTCTGCCACTTTTCCAAATGATCAACTAGAAGTCAAGTTATTATTTGTTACTCTTACAACTGGGATCGCCAACAAGACTTTTGTCAGGTAGTGTATTTAAGCTCATCCATTGCCAGGATTATTCAATAATCTCAAACCACTGTTTACAATTAGTGTCTTTAAGCTAATTATAAGTAATCATCTTTTTGTATGCCACAAGGAGAATCTTGCATAGATTTTGGTCATTATTTTGTGTTTATTTAAATAGTTATCATTGTTAATAATATTAATACTGTCTCACTTGTCTTGATAATTCTGACAAGTTAAAACAGTCCAACTTTCCAAATTGCTAAAGGAGAAGTTGTTTTACATCATAGATTTGACTATATTCTTTATTATAGCTGAAACATTTTATTGGCCAATCAGAATTCCAAACCGGAACTATCTGTTTTGTAATGGCCTTTTTGACATCCGACCATCAGTCAATAGAGCAGAGTCAAAGCCTCGTTTTCACAGTAGCTGTGTTACATTAGCAGCAGAGCCAGTAATACTGCAGCACTATGCACTATACATTTTATTGCCAAACGGTATGTTAATGCTAATCTATGATGCATGATATAATCACTCCTTGCGAAGCGGCAGACAGTCGGTCGAATTAAGAGTCAGACACAACGAAATCATTAGTGGTTGCTTCCAAAGCCAATTGCTTTGTCAATGAAGCACAGGCTATTGATCATCTTCATTTACGTGGAGTGCTCGATCAGCTCAAAGTCAGTGTCAATAACCGGCCTCTTCGTCTATAGTTAGACTCCTGACATCCTCGTGTTTATTACTGTGGTTTGAGGAACTTATGTACACTTACCCACGGCTCCAACAGAATACCTGACTTGTTAGATTAGGTTTTCTGATCCAGCCTCACCGGATTGGGCAATGCTGATGCCTTGCATAATACCGCAAGACTAATATCCTGTGGAAAGCAAAGTGCCCAGCGCAGCGTCTTACTAGAAACATTCTGTTAAAATGGTTAATATGGCAGGCCAGGCTGTGCCAGCTGAGTGTAGAACACCTAATGAGGATTAATATCTGCCTCTATCAAAAGCAGCAGCCACCGCTTTCACTTAACTCTCATCTCCTTGATGAAGGTAGAGAGGAAATAACTACAAGATGGCCAGTGTGAGAAAGTTTCTGGCTCATTGGCTTGACTTGATCTTGTGCTTTTTTACATTTTTTATGCTTTAGGAAAGTAAACTTTGGGTTTTAATGATTGTAAATAATTGTAATATTAATGGTTTTCTGTTTTAGTATATATTGGATTGTAACTTATTGTATGATGCCAAGCTACATTTTTGCAGACATTGCTCCAGGTATAATTTTTTACCACTAGGGGGTTCATAGTCACAAAAAACAAAGGTGTAGTTTGATGATGCTGTGACTGAATGTGGAATCATGGCAGTTGTGGTTTACATCCAATAGGACTAAAGGCTCCAAGTCAATGGACGCTAAAGCGATTGATGCGCTTAAAAATAGCAGATATATATCACTGTTCAAGTGGTTTTTTTTTTTTTTTTTTTTTTGTGAATAAATTATACGTATAATACCTTTAATTGTCTAAAATTCTTCAAAAATTATTCTAACGAGCTGATTAGAAATAGCTCTCAAACTTTTTAATTAGTTTTTTCTATTAAGGTTGGAAACAACTGGTATTTTGAGGAAGTCATAATTTATTTTGTCAGCATGTATTAACAAATAGAAAGTTCAAAAGAACAATTATTTGAAATAGAAATGCATTTACTGTCCAGTATGATTACAAATTTATGCATCTTTAAAAAATAAAAAAGGATTACCCCAAGCATTTGAAGTCTCTGATTATAAATGTGCCTGGTTCATGTGTATCAACAACTACACTATATTTTCTTTTTTTTTTTTTTTGGCACATACTGTTTCTGTTGTTATTTTGTTGAGCACAAACATGGGTATTTTGAGAAATCCTGGTAATTGGGCAATTTACACCAACTAAAAATTAAAGATACATCCATAAACAGCTCAAGGAAACAATATTGTCAGAATCTTTTTGTCGAAAAAGGATAGTTCACTCAGGCCCCGTTTACACTAATGCGTTTTAGTTTGAAAACGCATAAGTTTTGCTATGGTTACGCCATCTGTCCACACTACGCCGGAGTTCTCGAGCGCCGAAAACGGAGCATTTCGAAAACGCTGGAGAGGCCGTTTTCATTCTGAAACGCTGCTGCTCCGTCTCAGTGTGGATGGGGAAAGACGGAGACATCTGAAAACAGAGGCGGGGCTGCAGACGTTCGCCTCTCTGATTGGGGCTTTTCCTGAATATTAAGTAGCCTAACACACAGTTCAGTCCTGCATTCTCTCCGTGTAAGTTCAGACTTCGCAAGTTTGATCAAGGCTGCAGTCTCTTCTTCTTAGTTTGATATGGAAAAGCAGACTATACCGAGGACACGGGTAAATCTTCAAAGGGAACAGTGTACTTTATAACTTCATTCACATCACCCTGGCTTCGTTGTTTCACTTTCTCAACAATAAAATGTAAACATGATTTAAGGAACTGCCTATTTTCATTTTAATATTAGCAACTTAGACAGCAGACATGTTGAGGCGTCGTGCTGCATAAGATGAGCGTCATCTTCACTGTGTGGATATTTATAACAAAACGGAGCCGATAACAACTGCCTCCTTTCAATTTCAGTGAAAATACAAAACACAGCGTCTCTTTTGCTGAGTATCAGTTTTAATAATCGATAATGGCCATTTTAAAAGTATAACATACAATAAGTTTATACATTATAGGAAATAAAGGCAAGCGATCAGTCAATATACAGAATGTAGGCTACGTGGTTACATTAATCATTAACTTATCTTTGCGCTCAGCCAAAACACGTTACCTGAGAACAAGTAATAGATTCCAATGCCCAAAGTCAGGGAATATGTCGTTAGATAAAGACAACAAGATAAATGAAATATCCCGTTTAATAAATATAGTGAGATTAGATCCAGCGGGAGATGCTTGATGAGAAGTCCGACTAGCAGAGCTCTCATCTGGGTGGATGGGCTGCAGCGCTTGCCCGAGAGTGTCTGTGTGGTCACGTGATGTGCGTTTTCAGCGTTTTGGTGTGGACGAAGAGCAGTGCAGAAACGCTGGGTAAAACGCGAGTGTGGACGCGGATCGTTTTCATTCTAAAACGCCGTTTTAAAACTAAAACGTACTAGTGTAAACGGGGCCTCAGAAAGCAAAAATGTACATTTATTTACCCTAAGGTGGTTTCTGCCCTTTGAGGTTTTTTTCTGTTGAACAAAAAAATAGATTTTTCTTACGAATATTGGTAACTGCTTCCCATTGACAGTCATATTAGGAGAAAATCATACTATGGAAGTCAGTGCTTTCTGACATTTTTCAAAATATCTTTATCAAAAGAACGAAACTCAAACAAGTTTTGAGATTGTGGGGAATGAGTAAAAAATGACAGAATTTTCATTTTTGGGTGAACTATGCCTTTAACAGCCGATCATTATCCATCTTGCATTAATTAGCTCAAGCAATTAAAGCAGCAAACAACAAAAACATCCTTATAATCCTGTAAACGTCCAGTTGATATTGTCAACTGGTGTGGGCATACATGTTACTTGACTGGTTCCAGCTCAATTCCTCTAAGATTAGTTTATATGTAATGTGCTTAAACAGGCTAACTAATCACTGCTCTGCTTGTGTGTTTTTACAGGACGAGTCCTCCTTATTGCTGTGTGGACCTTTATTCGTTAAGGACCGGAGAAATGGTGAAGTCCATACAGTTCAAAACACCCATCTATGATCTACACTGCAACAAAAGGTGCATTTAAGCCCATTTCGTCTTGCACTTCACCTTGCATAAATTAAAACGGCATTTTATACCCTTTACTTGTTCTTTTTCAACCTCGATCCATCCCTTGATGACCGCAGGATCCTCGTGGTTAGTCTTCAAGAAAAGATCGCCGCCTTTGACAGCTGCACCTTTATGAAAAAGTTCTTTGTCACAAGTAAGTACTTCACGTTATAGATGTGTCTGCCGAACTTGACCCTTCTTGACCTTCTCTACTCTCCGACGCAACTTCTTCTCTGCTTCTTTGATCTTCAGCTTCGCAAAACAGGAAACCTAGTCTTGATTAATCCTCTTCACACACTGACTTCATTAAACCCACAAAACCCTGCAAAACCCTTATATGTGCTGTCACAGCAACGGAGCCGCTTTTTCCCCGGGTCACTCCTCACGAATATACCATATCAAAGCTCATTCACAATTGTGCAGGCTTGCTTGTTTACACAAATGGCTTTTGTTTTACAACGTGTCAGAGCCGGGCTTTACCCGAAACCGTTTGTGTCAAACTGCCATTGAGTTGCATAAACAATAACAAACAAATCCATACTGTCACTCTGCCTAGTTCTAACACATAAAGAGCCATTTCCTCTCCTCCGTGGCTAAAATCCGAAAGCGTGTTTTTTTTTTTTTTTGCATTGAAAGAGATGTTACTCATAAAGTCCCGATTCTCGTGGTCTCAGTGTATGGTTTCAGAAGAATAAACTGTCCATGTCACCATGTGAAACCAGGCCTCTACTGCCCACTTAAGCAATCGTTTGTTGTAAATTGCCATTAGTGTTGTTTTAATGGCTCTCATTGTCTATCCAACTTCCCCGTCAACGTCTGCGCCACAGGAAACGGGCACGGTCAATAACCCTTTACATCATTAATCGCTTCTGTAAAGCTTCCACAACATAAGAAGAACAAAACTAGACTTATTATTTTTAAAGTGACACATCAAAAAAGGAGGCACATTATTGTTAACTGAAATCATGATAATTTTCATTATTGTGTCGTACTATGAGGTTACATTTTTCATCAGATATGATATATTCTGATTTATATAATGAAAATCTATAGAAGAGCAGACCAGGTTTATTTGTTAAGTGCATGTTTGCTGTCGTTATGCTGTAATTTTTTTTACGAGTTTTTTTTTTTTCATTAAAATGTTACACAAATGTAACTCTTACACTGATATGATGTGATTGTGTTATTTGTATCCCCCAAAATGCAAATTTGACCATGTGTGAGTAAAAAAAAGAAATAAAAAATTAACAGAAAATACAGTAGTTAAATAAAAAATAGAAATGTTTACTGATATTAAACGTACCTGCACATTTTTATTCACTCATTCATTAATTCGTTTTCCTTCGGCTTAGTTCCTTATATATCAGGGGTTGTCACAGCAGAATGAACAACCAACTATTCCAGTATATATTTTACACAGTGGATGCCCTTCCAGCTGCAACCCAGTACTGGAAAACACCCCCATACACTTTAGCATTCACACACACTCATACACTTTGGCCAAGTTAGTTTATCCAATTCACCACATGTCTTTGGGCTGTAGGGGAAACCGGAGCATCCAGAGAAAACCCACACCAACATGGGTAAAACATACAAACTCCACACAGAAATGCCAACTGGCCAAGCCGGGTCTCGAACCTTCTTGCTGTGAGGCGACAGTGCTAATCACTGAGACACCGTGCTGCCCCACCCCCACATTTTTTGTAAATTAATTAATTAATTTTTATTATTATTTTTTTTGCAATTTACCCCTTTATAGCAGACAAGCTTAATGTATTGCTATTTTAAAACCAAGTAAAATGTTTTAATTCCCAAGCATTTCTATTTATATTCTGACTTTTGAGGTCAAAACTGCTTTTCTGTGTTTTCGAGTGTCTGTCTCTATTTATCTGTCTATTTAAACTTTGACTTGACTGACACGGTTTCAATTTATTAGAACTTCTATGTTAAGCTGCTTTGACACAATTTACATTGTAAAAGCCCTATAGAGATAAACATGACTTGAATTCAGTTGATTTGAACTTGACCTCTACACACACATATATATATATATATATAATAATTTTTTTTTTTTTAACAAATTTTATCATTACATTTTTTTCTGCCTTTTTTATTTATTTATTTATTTATTTTTTTTACTTTGGTTGACTTGAAAAAGTAAACAACTATATATATATATATATGTATATATATATATATATGTATGTATGTATGTATGTATGTGTGTATATATATATATATATATATATATATATATATATATATATATATGTATGTATATATATATATATGTATATATATGTGTGTATATATGTGTGTGTGTATGTATATATATATATATATGTGTGTGTGTGTGTGTGTGTGTGTGTGTGTGTGTGTGTGTGTGTGTGTGTGTGTATATATATATATATATGTATATATATGTAGTATGTGTGTGTGTGTGTGTGTGTGTATTTTCATATATATATATATATATATATATATATATATATATATATATATGACAAAATATATATGACAAGCTATATGACAAAAGCAAAATTACTTTTACTTTTAAAAAAAAACGCACAATAACACTAAAATAATCAATCATTAAAATCGACATTCAACAAAATCTTAACTAAACATTTATTTTTACATTTATTTTCTTTTTGGCTTAGTCTCTTTATTAATCAGGGATCACCACAGTGGAATGAACCGCCAAATTATCCAGCATATGTTTTACAGAGCGAATGCCCTTACAGCTGCAACGCAGCACTACAACGAAAGCACAGCATCTACATACATACACTGCAGCCAATTTAGCTCATACAATTCACCTATAGCCCATGTCTTTGGACTGGAAAGAAACCCACGTGAACACAGGGAGAACATGCGAACTCCACACAGAAATGACTACTGACCCAGCCAGGGTTTTCACTAGTGATCTAATTGCTTCTTGCGATCGTGCTACCCAGTGTGCTACAGTGATGCCTTAAGTAACATAAAAAGCGAAAATATCAAAATAAAATATAAAATAGCATGTCACTGATGCTAAAATAACATGGCCTCTAGACAGTGAACAATACAAATTCATTTCAATTTAATTCATACAGCATGTGTCCCACCAGCCTGTTTGTTCGCATAGAGTAAGGTTTTCTCTCTCTGGTTGTGAGATCGCAAAACAATGGTGAAAATCCCCTAAACCGAGCTCACAGGATGTGTTAAACATACGTTATCTCACAGCATTGGCTCCCTCCGCCTTGGAAAGACACAAAAGCTTTTTTTTGCATCACTGCTTTTGTGGCTTACCTCAAGCTCCATTCACCCCAGTTTCAGATCCTGACTCTACACCCTAAATTACTGTCTACATATATTTTATATTCACTCGTGCTATAAATTACTGTCAGCACACTTCACACTGTGATGTGCACTAGCGTAACCTTTCAGTGTGTGCGGGTTGAGAAAGAAGTTTGGTATTTCTGTGATTATTTATTAGGTTTATGACCTTATCTGATTTGCATTCGCTTGCGTGTCTGTCCTGTTTGTGTGCGTTCAAATGTGATGTACGTCTGTATTATTATGGCATGTGGGATTCTATGGCTGTATTGCTCTCATGGGTCAATCTGTCTGGCAGTTAATAAGCAGAGGAGCCGTCCTACTGTCACAAAATGCCATAACCCTTGTTTAACCTCTGGTATTAGTCTAACGCTAAGCTCTAATAAAACACAGTTTTGGGCAAGATGGTGCTCTGATGGATTATTTATGTCTTCTTTGTGCTGTCATTTAGTTTATCTTGTGTTATATTTGTGTGTTTTCTTTGTGTTTGCAGGCTGCTACCCCTGTCCTGGGCCCAACTTCAACCCTATAGCACTGGGAAGCCGGTGGTTGGCCTATGCTGAGAACAAGGTAGTGCAAACACCTAGTATTTTAAACAACTCCAGATGCATGCAAAAGGGTCTTTTTTTGAAAACCCAAAAACCACTAGTTTAGTAAATTTAATGGTTTATTTAATTTAATTAAATGTATTGTAGTTTTTATTTATTCATACAGTTTAATCAGATTTATTACCCCTCGTTTGATTTAAAAAAAAAAAAAAAATCCCAAATTTAAGAGCGTTCTGACTTCAACTGTATGTACGTGTGTGTGTGTGTGTGTGTGTGTGTGTGTGTGTGTGTGTGTGTGCGTGCGTGCGTGCGTGCGTGCGTGCGTGCGTGTGTGCGTGTGTGTGTGTACATGTATGCATGTATGTATATGTGTGTTTATATGTGTATATGTATGTATGTATGTATATATATATATGTGTGTGTGTGTGTGTGTGTGTGTGTATGTATATATCTATATATTTAGGCATGGGCATGGTTGGTATAAGATTTCGGTATAAGGGTCGGTATAAGATTTTGACAGTATGATATCACAGTTTCACAGTATTGTGATTACTGCTTTAAAATATCTTCTTTTTCAATGTCTGGGTAAAACAACTAAAACTTTTCCCCCTTTGAACAAAATATATTTTATTTTAAGAAATATTTAAAGTATTTTGAAGCAATAAATATGTCAGACTAAATAATTAAATAAGTCATTGACACATGCCGTCTTCATTTGTTTCAAAAACAGATTTATTTACAGTTTAAAATAGCATATTTGGATATTTATTCTGCTGGAATTACTGTTGTCCTAAAAAAAAAAAAAATAAAGTGACAAATGTTTTTACACATACCTTAGAAACGGTATGCCAATTTTAAAACCTTGACTTTTCCAAACTACTATTTATTTATTTATTTATTTATTTATTTATTTATTTATTTATTTATTTATTTATTTATGCAGTTAGCTAGTTAGTTATTTGTTAAATTGAGACTAAAATAATATTTTATAATAATACAGTAATAAAAGGTTTTCTGGAATAGCAAGAACTATTTTTAAAAAAATTATTTACTATACATTTTTTGGTGTTTATTTACTTTATTGTTTAAAACTTCTTTTATTAAATGTCAGATGATATCTAAAGATTTGTTTTATATTGTTATTATTTTTGTTTTAATTTATTATTTTATTGATAATAACTACAAATTGTACTTTTTAAATCATTTTAAATGTAATATATTTTTGTTTTATGTTTGTATATAAAATTATATTATTTTATAAGGAGTATTTTGTAACATATGGTAATTTGAATTAAATATAAAGCACTTTTTTCAATTAACTCATTTAGTTTAGTCAAGTTAAATTTTTTAGCATTAGAACCCTCAGCCCTTCTGATCAGCATCAAACTATTAATTCAAGGCTTCCTTAAGACTTTTTTGTAATATAAAAATGTTTTCTTTTACTCAGCCTTAAATCAGACTGCAGTCACCTAATTAATGTTATTACTTTTGTACCAATTGCTCATATAATAAAGACAAAGTGTGTCATTTTGAGGAGCTAACACTATAATAAGACATATTATTATTAAGTGGACCCTTGATTCACCGTCATTCATATAATGGGTGCGGTTTGTTTGCCTTAGAGAGGCCAGTTGCTGCCTAATAATGGACAGATGGGACAGTGTGTCTGGGCAAAGGTAATGAGTTTCTGGCCAATAGCAGCTGAAGTGTTGAATAGGTCTGGGACAGAGACCCTAGAGGGAGCATGTTGTAGAATAGGGCTGAAGAACTGTTTGTTGTCCTAATGGCATCCTCCTCCTCTTCTTACTCACCGTGCCCGCCTGCAGACGTCCTGGCGCGGGCTGTGACAGGCCTCTGTGGGTTAATGAGTGCTGGGGAGCTGAAAGGTTCTGGATGATAATGTGACTCTGTTCTGTCTCTGTTTGTGTGTGTGTGTGTGTAGCTGATCCGGTGTCATCAGTCCCGTGGTGGGGCATGTGGAGATAATGCCCAGTCCTACACTGCCACAGTCATCAGTGCTGCCAAAGTGAGTTCCCCCTGCACTTTCACCACCGCCAGTTTTCACACATAGTACAGTGGCCTCAAAAAGTATTTGAAGAGTTCAGATGCAAAAACCTTTATATGCTGTCTGTAATTTCCATCAAAAATGAACATTTTTCTCAGCCTCCTTTGTTTATGTTGAGATATTTTCACTTTAAAGACTCGAAAAGGACTTATTCTATGTCATAAAAGTGATATCACTTAACACAAACATAGGAGCCTGAAAAAAAATGCTCATGTAAGAGGAGAATTTCAGATGGCTTTTCAAAGTTTTTGCATCTAAACTCTTCATCTGCAATTTTAAGTCACAAATAGATAGATAAAGATAGACTGAGGCTAAAAAATAAAACCTGTGTTGTCTAAAGCAATGGTTCTTAATTCCAGTTTTTGTGGAGTTCCAGTTCTCCCAACCTGCATATTTTGTATGTCTCTTTTATTTGACATACAAAGATCAGTTCATGGATCTCTCTATTAATGAGCTGATCTTTTAAACCAGGTGTGTTAAGTAAGGAAGACATAGGCTGCATCTGAAATCGGTACTGCATTTGAGTTTGAATTTACTACTCAACTGTCAGAAAAGTATGTTCTATACAGTGTGAATGTGAGTAGTATGAATGTAATTTGGACGTACTATATCCGCCATTGTGTCATCATCACATGACCTACTAGCGTCAGCATGCACTCTCATTCATGAATTCTCTCACTGTGCATCATGGGATATCGTAGCGTCCATCGGATGCGCACTTCAGAATCTTGCTGGAAGTAGTTGGCAGGGTTGTTACTATACCATTAGTTCATCTTGCTATACTATACCAGCTGAAGTATCACAATACCAAATAGTATTGCGATACTATTCAAATTATAAAGAAAATGGTCAGAAATACTGTATTTTAGATGTTATAATAGGTCTACTGGAATACAATTAATAATTGCCTTATTATTGAAAAAAGTTTTATTTGCATGTCACTTCACCTAAAATGTATGAGCTCTTTTTGTTTATTTTGTAGATAACTCACCAACAAAAAATAAAAAAATAAAGATAAAAATTATACAGAATGAAATTTATTATAAAAAGAGAATTTTCCCTACAAAATTAGGCTATATGAAGTGGTAAAAAAAAAAGTTTTATTGTTTCCACTATTTTGGGTTTTTCATTTAATGTTTTTTTTATTCATTTATTGTTTTTGTCTTATCAGGTAACAATCCAAAGTAATTCAAAATTTTACTTTGAACGCCGTTCTTTTTGATTTAAATCGTATAGACAGGAAAAGAAATGAACCGTTTGAAACATCAGAAAGCGTGCAACCTTAAATGGATCTATTGCCTTTTAAAATAAAATGGTATATTGTTGCTCAAACGTGTGAGCATTTTAGTGACGTTCCACATGCAATATTACCTATTGTAGATAGACCGTTAATGACGATACTAGCGAACTACAGTGGCACCACCAGTATTTTAGAACCATAGTATTGCAATACTACCATAGTACCCGTAAACCATGCAATAGTAGCAGGTTATCTGGGCACTTCTCGCACACTGTTTTTCGAATTCTATGAATTTGGACATGCTTCTCAGCTTGCATACTAGTTTTTAGCGTACTATATAGTATGAAAGTATGCAATTTTGGACGCAACCATATAAAATGTGCTGGGCTAGGGGTGGGCCCAAGGACAGCAATTGAGAACCACTGGTCTAAATATGGCTTTATTTGTTTGCAGATGTCACTTTGGTAAAAAAAAAAAAAGTAACAAAGATGAATTCATGCGATTTTATCGTGGCTTTAGAATCTAAATACATTTGGGGCCAATTTGACACATTTTTGAACACATTTACCAACAGATGTTTTATTCACACTTGCGGCTTGATTTATTCCAATTGTTTCTTGTTGAGAGACTTCTTGTTCCAGTTAGCATCATTCCTTTTCTTTGTATAAATATTAAAGCCAGCTATACTTTGGTAATATTTGATATTTATAAATGTTGGTGCATGTAGAGCTTTGGAACCCCACTGAGTATAAAAATCTGTAAACATGTTGAGGAAATGGTTCATTTGTTTTAACATTTACTCTGGCCAAACTTTGAATGGCATTTTTTAAACTAGATCTTACAGAACATTTAAAATCATCAAGAATTATTTCCAGAAATCATTGGCCCAGTGATCTTTAAATCTCTCAATGTGTGTCATATTCATTAAAAAGTCTTTTTCTAAGAAATCAAACCATACAGCTTTACCCCATGCTAAGTATTAGCTGACTCTTGCAATGATGGTGCACTTATGGGTATTTTCAGTTGTGCTTTCCTTCCTGTTTTCTGTGCTCTAAATGAAGCTCATAATGTGTGCTGTTCCACTCACTTTGTTCACCATATAGCATCCCAGAGCGGTCTCGGCGTAGTCCTCAGTGATTCAGAGACCCACTAGAGTTCATTTAGTGGTGCCAGAACCTTGGTGCTTAACCTTTCATATGGTTCCAGTCTCCTCTTCTGGTTGCTTAATTGATTTATTAAGCCCACATCTGTATTCCCCGGCCGCCGGGCTGATCACCGCCTAACGAGCGCTAACGGCTTACGTGAGAGAAGTGCCATTAGCCTTAATGGCGGTATACATCAAAAGGAGCACAGCAAAGGTTAGCAGGGAGGAAAACAAGGTTAAAAAAGCCTTGATACGCAGACAGGCCGTCTGCAGACGGGGCTGTGATTTATAACCATCTCCTCCGCTCTGACACACGGTCCCTGTGCTGAGTGGCTCTGAGTGCGGCCGTCTGGGGGCCAGGGGGCCATCTCCCATCAATCCTGTAACACAATCACAAAAGAAGGGGGAGGGCGCCTTTTGCAAAATTGAATTCTTGCAAGGCACAGACTGTGTAAATGAGCGCAATGTGACCAAAAGAGAGATGTCATTGTGCCAGCCACAAGTCTGCGTGAGCGGGGTGCCCCAGGGCTCTGTTTTCAGACCTCTGCCGTTGTGAACTGGTGTTTGGGGTAAGTGGATAGCACAGCTTAAGTAGGGTCTCCTCTAGTTCTCACTTAATGGAGTGAGCGTTGCTGTATGTGTGTGCCTGTCTGCCAAGGCCCCGGAGAGCTTAATCAGGCATTCAGGCCAAGCGGCAGCGTCAATACCTCGTGGCGCCTGTGTTTGTTGGGCCCTTCGGAGAATGCTCTGACAAGCCCACTAACTGACTGTGTGTAAATTGCTTTACCCCATCAATTATTAAGAGAAGCGTTTGCCTCCTAATTGATCAACACTAATGTGTTTTCTAATCACTGCAGTTAGAGTTTTTAGTGCTAATCCAAACAGTCCCCATTGATCAGGGCAGGCGAGAGGAGGGGCGGCCGGCTGGTGGCAGACACTGCACCGACTGCCGTGCCAGAACTCCACCAGCTCTTCTCAGCTCATATCTCTGAGTAAATATCCACATACACTCACACAACCACTTACCGTTAGCCTACAGGACTAACTCACACACCTGTCTGTTGACATTGCCTCAGGCAACACTGGATGCAAACATGTTTTTTAGGTCGTTGCTCAACAAAATCTGGATTTTAGAACATTGTTTGCTATATTGATTTGAGTGTTGCAATAGTACTAGTGGTAGGCTGGCACAAATGTTGCAGAACGAAATGTTGTTCTTTTAACCCTTTGCATGAATTATTGAATGGTAAATAGGGATATCATTCAAAAAACCACCTGCAGTTTGGCAAATTGATGATTTCGAAGGCACTTTCTAAATATGTAAGAAGAATCTAAGAAGAGTCGTTCATCTATGAAACGTCGACCCTTAAATATAGAGACTTAAATAGTAAAAATCTGAATACAGTAAAAGCTGAAATCTAAACCGACTGCAGTGTCCCCAAATAAATGATTTCACCAAGCCGAGAAGGTTTGAGAATTTCCAGTTTAAGTTATGTTGAATTTGAGCTGACATACATTGTGTAAGTGTTCATTTCATCCACACTGATGGAATAAGGTAAGAGTGTGGACAAACTCCAACGTGACCAGAAAGGATGCCAAAATAGTAATGTTGAAATGTTTAGAGACATCATATTGCCAAAGAACTTTAGATTGACTGGTTGTTACCCCCTGTGAATATGACACCACCTTAAACATACTGAATTTAGATACTTAATGACCTAAATTTAACCACCCAAGCTTTATTTTGATCTTAGTTTTGAGTAAATTATGTTTTGGTAAATTAATTCTGCACATCGCTATCATTAATCACAGTTTGTGAATCTTTGTAACAGTATATTTCTGTCTTCCTGCTAGACATTAAAAACGGGACTGACCATGGTGGGCAAGGTTGTGACCCAGCTTGCTGGTACCCTACCATCAGGGGTGCCTGATGAAGAAGGCACAGCTCACAGTGGTACCCGCCGCAGTCCTCACCAGCCTGGTGTGGTCACCATAATAGACACCCACACTGTGGGAGAAGGACAGGTAAGAAATTCCTCGTTATACATCATGATCTCAGTTTCAAGAGGAATAATTAGTACATAATATCAAAACAGCTGTGTTCATAGTACTTCTTTCACCTCTCTGACCTTGATCCAGAACAACCCCGTTCTCCCCCTTTTTCTCAGAGATAAATAATCCATTAATCCCATTCATAACTCATTCAGCATTAGTGCTTCTTGTGGCCCAGGGGGTTTGTCATCACCTTGTCATAAGAGCACATGTTCCACCGTTCGTTCACAAACTCTGTGCCAGGCCACAGTCTCCTGATCTCATGATTTAGCCACTTCCTGTGGCTGTTTCCTGCTTGGCTGGCACAACCATAGCCTTTTAGCATGAGATCACAGGCAGGTCATTGAAGGAGCATGACGGAAAAGGTCTTGTCTCTTTTTCCCTTTCCACCAACGCCTGAATGTGTGTTAAATAAGGACTTGTGGGCATGTGACACACGATCGCTTTAATAGAGCACCAGGTTTAAAGGCTAGCTGTAATATTTGCAGTTCTCATGTTCAAGGATTTTTACTTGGGGAGATATTAAGTTGGAGCAGGTTTTGCTATCCTGTTGATTCTGACCCATGTAAATAGATCCTCCTATTTAGTGGGCTGTAAAACCCTTCATTCCCCTAAGAGCCTACTGTGGCCTAGTTGACACATTACTCTCATTTAGAGGTGTGATTTATTTAGCTTAACTCTGTTTCTAAGTGATGTTTTCTGCATTTATGTCAGCAATTACACAGAACCCAACATGTACTCCTACTAAAGTGTTTTTGGTGTTTGTGCTGAACATCTTTTTGGAATTTACTGTCAGTGCCATTCTCCCGTGACTCCAGCAGTGGTTTTGGCATTTCTCTTTTGTTTTTTTCCCCTCAATCTCCCCTACTCCCAGTCTCACGGGACACGCCTTAATCCCCGAGAAGCCCCCCCACCCCAATCATAATCATCCCCTTTCAGCTCAGTGTGTCCTGCATCAAGTTTATTTGCTTTTTGGGGCTATTCGCACACAAACACTTTTCGGAATCAATTGTATATTCCTGTACAGAACAACATTGTCTGTTTTTGCCCCCCAATAAAAGCGATCTGGTTTGTGTCACCGGGGCATTTTTTTGCAGTCTAAAATAAATGTCTGGGTTTTAGAGCAAGGCTGTTTTCTGTTTGGACTGGATCCTATTAAAAGCTGCCTTTCTCCTTAATGCAACACTCCACTAGATTTATCACTCTTCTCTCCGGCTGTCTCATGTCTGGGCTTAGTTATAATCTCTTTCATGAGCAAACTTAACAGAGGACCACTGACCAGAGAATAGCCCCTTATGAGCAACACACTCACCTTTTTCTTTCTGCCTATCTTGCTTTCATGTTTGAAAAAATAAAAAAAAAAATAGAATAAAGTTAGATATTTGAGGGGTGGTGGCAGTGTGGCTCAGTGGTTAGCACTGTCACCTCACAGCAAGAAGGTTGCTGGTTCGAGTCCTGATTGGGCCAGTTGGCATTTCTGTGTAGAGTTTGCATGTTCTTCCTGTGTTTGCGATGGTTTCCTCTAGGTGCTCCGATTTTCCCCACAGTCTAAAGACAAGCGTTATAGGTAAAATAAGTAAACAAAATTGGCCTTAGTGTATAAGTATGTGTGTGAATATAAGGGTGTATAGGGTGATGTTTACTTTTGCCTGGTTCCACATCGCAGACCTCTGCTGACTCTGCTTGAACCTGACAAAACAGATGAGTTTTTTATACTTGATGCGTTCTCCGACATATTCTTTAAAATGTCGAGTGGTGGTCAAAAGCCCACCGTAAAGTTTGACAGATAAACAGAGAAGTAGGAAGTTTCCTACGTCATATCATTAATAGCATTCAAGATGTTTAAACTAACTATTTTATATTATTTCTATTAATTTATTTTAATGATTATAAAGATTTTTATAACCTTTCAAGACTTTTTAAATCAAGCTTAGATGCATCACTTGCTTTTGTTCATATGTCAGACAGTTCCACCTATTAAAGTTAAATATCATTGACAAGAGAATATGGGTTGCTCTACAAATATATTTTTATTATGGCTAGAATAAAAGCCAAAAATGTGCACTTACTAAAAAATACTGACGTTTTTATAGATTTTAACCCACTTCACAATTTTACACATTACTGTCTGGCTAGTTTGTGTTCTCTACTTATATGCTATAAGGCAACAATGGTCCAACATTCCTGACCATTATCACCAATAAAGTCTAGGAAAACGAGGCATCAGTATATTGTAAATTGATAGCTCTAAATATTTTTTTCCAGTTTTTAAAGAAATAATTAATTGGTTCATTTTAGTTTTGTAACTATTCAATTGTTTTAAATTCAAAATTGTAATATATAGATCAGTTTAAAACTTATGAATGGTAGAAAAACATATTCTGTAATTGTGTATTAAACCACCTGGGTCTCCTCTTTTGCCATGGCCTCTTATTTTGGTTTTAAAATGTTTTTTCTTAAATTTTTCTAAACTTTTTAACAAAAAACTTTCTTAGTTTTTCAATTTTTAAAAACTCAATTTTGTCTGTTGCAATTTTTAGCCAATAATTATTGTCCATCTGGTTATCTCATGTTCACGCATGGATGGATCGTAAAGATGTCTACAGTCATACCTGTTTCAGACAAAATCTCTTCAAAGTGATTCATATTCAGCTCAAATCATACGTGGTGCCAAGCGAACTGTTCGCTCGAGTCTCAAAAAAATGTGTGCGCTTCGCCAGCCAAAATCATTTCACGCACACCCAAATCGAACATTTGCAAACACCACGATGCACTTACATTTGCTGCACACACTCAAGCAAACTAGTGAATATGTAGAGTAAAAACCAGGCTTTTGGGTGATTCTCAATACTGGGTTGTGGCTGGAAGGGCATCTGCTGTGTAAAACGTATGCTTAAAAAGTTGGCAGCAGGGTTCATATGGTCATGGAAAACCTGTAAGTTTTGTAAAAGTCATGGAAATTAGCTGAAGAAATATCTGTATACTTGAATATAGATTAGTTGTCTTTAATTATTTTCTGTCTTTGGCCAAAACATGCTCTCACATTATTAGTGCTGTGGAATTATTATCTAAATCAATTTTACATAGATCTAAAAACTAATTTAAAATAAACATATTGTTGTTTGTTTTATGATATGCTGTAATACATTTGAATGTTCATTGCTTTTTTTATTACTTACCAAGTATATGTATACTTTACATGAAACATACGATCATGAAAAATTGAAAACTTGAAAGTCCTCAAAAAGTCATGGAATTTTAGTAATAAAAAGCTGTATGTACCCTGTGGCAGTTCATTCCGCTGTGGCGACCCCTGAAAAATAAGGGACTAAGCTGAAAGAAAATGAATAAATGAATTAATCAATATTAGAATTTAAAATAAATTCTAGTTTTACACCATTTGTGATATTTGTTTGATTTCAATTGGTTTTGAAGAAATTAATTAAAAATGTTCTATCCTTTTCTTCGATTTTTGGTTTCTGTATTGTTATGCACATAAAGGGATGACTTACAAATTCACATTACTGTTCTTTTAACTTGGGGCTATTAATCTCTTTTGGGTATTAGAATGTGAAGAGACACTATAGAGTTTCCTCCTGCTGTGTTTGTTTTAACTCCCTCAACATGTCACTTTTTCTTCCTGTCTGATACAGTTGTTGCGCTGTGGGCTTTGGCAGAACAAGAACATTGATCAAATTGGTCATGTGGGTTAGTCTTTTTTTCTTTGAAGCGGCGTTCATAAAACACACCAACATATTTGCGGACATCTTTTAAAAATTGAGTCAAATTTATTTGAATTCCATATTGAAACTATTTTGCCGACCCATATGTCATTTAAATCTAAAATCTTCCATTGTGGATTCAAGTCGACACAAGGATAATTGCTAAGCACCCGCAAGAGGGCAACATGTTTAAGGTTGACTGACATGTGAGGGAATGGATGATGATCACACAAAAAAAGACACGGAAACCTTTTCAGCTCCTATTTTTTGCTCTCCACAATGAAACAACTTGGAGCTCGCTTTGTTTTAATCAAAATGCCAAAACACATCTCGCTTAAACTGATTAAATCATATGTAACTGTGAAGATCAGATTGCGCAGGCCATTGTAGAGCCAATGACCAGCTCTGTGTCTAAAACACTGAGACGTGAGGTAAACAACAAGTCAGCCTTTATTTATGTGGCTTCGTCAACTTACTGTAGCTTTATTGTGTGTATGTTTCAGGTTCTTGTTAGTGAGGATTCTGATGGCGAAGGACTGATTGCACATTTTCCGGCACACGATAAGCCTATATCCTGCATGGCGTTTAATCCGAGTGGTAAGTGAACACCTCATTGTGATGGCTCACTGAGTCCTACCAAAGCACTAAACTCCAGGCACTTGGGTGGCAGACGTTTACATGGTCTAAAAGGGGTGCATTGTAGATTTTTCCCCCGGTAAAATAGATATAAAATCCAGATTTGTTTCTGTTTACAACATAAAGTACAGATTTTAGTCCACAAGACCATTTATGGAAACAAAGCTACAATTGTCTTAAAGTTACAGTACCGTCATTTTGATCACCAATGAAAACATTTGAAATACCCAGAAAAGCATGATTAATTTATGTAAAATTTGTTGCTCTTATGTCATTCCAAACATATATATATATATATATATATATATATCGTTCACCCAAAGATGAAAATTCATTTACTCACTCTTCACTTATTACAAACTTGTTTGAGTTTGTTTATTTTTATGTTGAACATAAAGGAATTGAGGAATGTTGGAAATAGGTAGCAGTTTAATTCTGTAGTAATGTTTTTTTTCTATGATGGATGTCAATAATTCTGGTTTCCAACATTTTCCAAAATTTCTTCTTTTGTGTTAAACAAAGAAAATAAACTAATAAAGATTTGGAACCACTTGAGGTTGACTAATAGTGTGTAAATTTTTATTTTGGGGTGAACCATCCCTTTAACTTATTGGTGAAAAGAAATCTTAAATATTTTGCATGCTGTGTACTGTTAGAGAACATTCAGGTGCCGCTCTTACTGGTGGAGGAAACATTTAGATACATTTTTAAATATGTGTTGTCGGCTTTACTCTCAGTAAAACATACATGCACTAAAAATATGATGTAAATGGTGAACACAGCTTTTAAGAAAGCATTTGATTGTTGTGTGATGTTAATGTATTTTGCAAAAACTGCAATATGACGTACCCATCAAGTCGCATTTAAGTTATTTGTAGATTGCTCAAAAGCAAGCCAAGCAAAGACCAATGGTTAGTTACTAGGCAAAGCAGACTTTTCCAGAAAGTATGCTATAAAGCAGGGGTGCCCAAACCTTTTCTTGTAAAGGGCCAAAGTCCAAAGTTGAATACACTAGTCGAGCTGCTCCTGCCTTTGCTTTGATTTTTCACCAATGTCTTGTGCATTGTTCTCTATCTTTCAACTGACGGTATTTACATTCTGATTCAAAGACTGATTCATTTACAACATATAATTGAAACATTCAGTTTTTTTGTAGCTCCTCTATTAAACAAAGAAATTTAGATTAGAATAGTTTCAACCAACTCCCCATCATTCTCCCTCACTTTTCAGATGGCATGGTGGGCCCAACCAAAGGTTACCATGGGCCAACTTTGGCCCGCGAGCCCTACTTTGAGCACCTCTGCTTTAGAGCAATGGAGGGCCACAGCTCTGCACAGTTTTGCTTCAAACCGCTCTAACTCACGCCTTGCTCTGCTTAAGAGTTACTAGTAGCCTTGAACACCTTGATTAGTTGTATCAGGTGTTTAATTAAGATTAGAGCAAAACTGCAGAGCTGCGGCCCTCCAGGAATTGAGTTTGAGACCTAGAATATGCTTTAGAGCAGGGGTTTTCAAAGTGTGAGGCGCGCCTCCCCTGGGGGACGCCAGAGCATGTCAGGGGAGGCGCGGGAAAAAATATAATATAATAAAAATATAATTATTAAGTTTAATTATTATATGTATCTTTTATTATATTTAACGTTTTAATTAAACAAAGCAAAAAATAATAATACGTCAAATATAAGAAAACCTCTTTTACCCAGAAGGCCATAGCTGTGAATTCGCTTCTGTTTGGCAAGCCCGCCAATACAGGTATATGCCTGCTAGTACAATGGGTCGGTTTCTGAGACCCCCTGATTCAAAGCTGTAATGAAGTTCACGGCCCTTTGGCCGCCGGGAAGAAGGAGGCGGAGAACCGAAGCAGTTTTAAAGTGATTTATTAATGACAGTGACGGTTGCCGTCTAAACCAAAACAAACGGACGGCAGCTCCTCACGGAGACTGCCGTCAAACTGAAAGCAAAAGTAGAATATGTCCGGGTTCGGACCTCTCGGCTTCCTCTGCCCACGTTCCTCCTTTTATGATCCAGGGCTCCTTCCGTGGGATCTGAGGCAGGTGCGCACCGCAGGTGTATCCACTTATGCGGTGGCCTCACTCCGTTCCCACGGCTCTTGGCCACGCCCCCTCGCCACAAAAGCCTTCAAGTTCAGGGCTTAAACCCAAAAGACGACGATTTGATGATCAGTATTTGAGTTTAGGATTTACGTGGACAGGACCAGCTGATGAACCGCGACCTTTATGTGTGGTTTGTCAAAATATTTTGGCTAATGACAGCATGAGACCCGCTAAACTTCGACTGTTTTGACTGGGATGGACAGTTCTTGGATCTGTTCTATTCATATTGAACCATCATCCTAGTTTTAAAAATGTTATATTAAAATACTTGTTATTACTCTGTAAATAATTGCACTTTCATGCAAATGATAATAAAAGTGAGTTAACCGTCTGACATCTGTCTGTGTCTTTATATATACTGTATATATATATGGATAAGTTGTGTCAAAAGGGAGGCCCACTGTCTTAGACTTTGAAAAACCCTGCTTTAGAGAGTCGTTTCAAATTCTTAAAACTAACTTTGTTTTGGCCTGATTTTGTTCTGTTGCATCACACCAGTTTGTTCTTCAATATCATTTTAAAAAACTGGATGTCTGGATATGCATAGATTACAATTTTAACTGGACATGGGAATATTCTAAGCCTTTTATAGGTTATCCGCTTGTTAAGTGTAACGTCATGCAAAGCGGCTTCCGGGTCCAAGTGCTCTATTGAACTGTATGTGGAGGCTCAACAAATGGTATTAATAAATGTTTAAACTACTTTCAAAAATCTCAATCGCAATATATATCTATGCCTAATATTTCATGGCCAGAAAGTGATAATTAAAAAAAAAAAAAAATGTTAAAGAGCCCATATTATACATGAAATAGGGTCATATCTTGGTTGTAAGGGTCTCCAACAACAGTCTAATATGCATGCAAAGTCAAAAAACACTTTCATGGTCTTATAATCTGCATTTATTTTTACCTAATTATCCCAGCGACTCCTGTATGAATCGTCCAGTGATTCATTTGTTCCCAAACCCCTCCTTAGCGCGAAGCTAATCTGCGCTGATTGGACCGATGACAGTCTGTCACGATTGGTCGACTGCCTTCAGTCAGAGAATGAAATGCCCAATAGCTAATCAGCAATATAAAAGTAATCACAGTTCATACGCGCTCCATAGTGTAGGCGTGGATTTTAGCTGCCACACACACACACACACACAAACACACACACACACACCTCTGGACGACAACGCTCCCGCTTCCGCCCGCACCCGCCAGGTTTAGCCTGAACCCGACCGCTCCCGCTTATATTTAGAATTTCTTGTCCCAGTGTCCGAACCGCCCCGTTTTCTGCCCGCCGCGCCCGATCCCGCTAAAGAGCGGGGGAGAACATAACCGAAAATCACCCAGCTAAACAGTCCAGAGACAGCCAGACAGAGCTCTCTCTCTCTCTCTCTCTCTCTCTCTCTCTCTCTCTCTCTCTCTCTCATACACGCGCACTAACACATACACACAAGCGCCAAGCAGACACACAGGCAGGCAAAGCTCTGTCTCATTCGCATAGCAATATCCACGATATTGCTAGACAGCCCGCTCCCGTCCCAAATTAAACCTGTTACCGACTGCTCCCGCGATTGATTCGGAAATTTATTCCTGCGCCGCAGAAGTCTGGCGCGGGGACAGCCGCTGGAATGCAGACCTCTACCACGGAGCTCCGTAAACAAACAGCACGCGTCGCGTTTTTAACGTGACTTTGCACGCGATAAGAAAATATAGCCAGTTAACCTGATACAGTACACTCGGTTACAAGTAATAAATCACAACTAAATACATTTGCAAGCTAGAGTCAACGAGGCAACTTTAATCGCACGTACTTACATTTGAGAAATGGAGGAAGAAACTCATCCTGACGTCCATTAGTAAGTTACTCTTTACTGATCCTTACTTTAACAAACGCAGATGAAGTATTCTTTGTAGCCTGTAGTTTCCAGAAGTTTCCAACTGCTTGGTTATAATGCTGAGGTTTCATCTTTGGGTAGAGACTCAATATATCCATCTGCAGTGTGACTTCAATCGACCGGCATGTTTGTGTGTCTGTGTGTTTGTGGGTGTGTGTGTGTGTCTGGGTTTCTGCGTCAGAGGGCGGGGCCTCAGGTTTGAAATCTCCCGGGTTTGCGCGTGCACGTGAAAACCTTGGTTTCGTTCGTACGTCATGGCGAAACACCTAATGAATCGGTATCAAGGCGACTCGTTTGAAGCACTATGAGTCGACTCTTTTATAGATGAATCAACCGTTTTAAACACTGTACACTAACAGATTTAAGCCTTAGCTGGATACTTCATTTTACTTAGAGCTGTGTTACACACTACATGGAGGGGAATTTTAAAAAACCCATAATATGGGCTCTTTAAAACGTTGTTGTCTTTGATGCAGCAAGTCCAGAGACACTATGATTTGATATAAAATTCACTTTAATGTTTGATATGACTAAAAAAAGTGCTCATAAACAAATATTTTCTCAATTCAAATGAGTAGCGGCTTGGACCCGGAAATAGTATTCTATATGTCATGACAAGCGAATACATAATTCAATACATGTTTAGGTGAAATTTTCCTTGAATTTTATGAAACAAAACTTTCTGGAATACATGTTTTATAATATAAATGCACTCTAAAATAAATCACAAGTAAATTAATTCCGGTTTGCAAAGGTGTCAGTCATGTCACCTTTTTGCACATAACTTTATCTTGTTCCTTAAGCGGTACTGTCTGCCAGACCCTTAAGATCATGTGAGATCTGTTGTTCTGTAAAGCAGCCATTGTGTGTCTTTGGTGAATCTGCCCTCCAGCACATCAGTCACTGTCATTTCCCCCTCTTTTTTCCACCCTCTCTATCCATCTTTCTCTTGTCTCTCTT